GAACACCGGGGTGGACTCGCGCTCCTCGTCGCTCGAGAAGTCCGGCGGCCCCTTGCTGTTGGCGCCGGCGGCGAGCGGCGGCCGGTTGCGCGCCGTGAGGTGCTGCAGGTAGAGCTGCACGTACACGTCCTTGCGCTGCTCCCCGGGCGGGAGCGTCACGTTGTTGGCGATCAACTCGCTCTTCAACTTCTCCTTCGTCAGCACCGAGGGGTCTTCCAGAAACTCGGGCATCTCCGCGGCGAATCCCCTGCCCCCGCAGCCTTCACGCCGGCGCTCTCGCTCCTCCTCCCCGGGGGCCGCGCTCCTTCTCCGAGCCTCCCCTCCCGGCGCCCGCCGGCTCGGCGCACCGCGGAGTCGAGCGAAAGCGGGCGGACGCGGAGCCCGGCGACACCCGACACAAAGCCCCCGGGAGCGGAACGACGGCCCGAGTGCGGCTGAAACACAAGCCTCCACCAACCCCGGGCCCACACACTACGAGCGAGAGCCCAGCGCCCCGCTGCGCCCACGCCCCAGCAACGCGCGCAGCCATTGGCCAGCGGCGGGAGGAAGAGCGGCGGTGATTGGCGGGACGGCTCGCGCGGGTTCCATTAGCCTCGGTGCGACGCGAAAGGGTGTACAGACGCAGTTTAAAAGCCGCTCGGGCGGGAGCCCGCGCTGCTGGGAAAGGCGCCCGGCCCGGTTCCCTCTTCTCCACGCTTCCCTTGACACCGATAAGGGGCTCCTCGGGGGGCATTCGTGCATGGTTTCCTCTCCCGCCCCCCACTTGGAAGACGCTTTCCTCGCGGGCCCGTCCCCTACAGTCAGCCGAATTGCATGCCCCAGTGGGGACCCTTGGGCCTTTCTCAATCCCAGGGCACATCCGCCGAAGAATGGCCCCAGACTTGACCTCCCCCAGACGTGGGAAGCAAAAGCAACGAGTTTGAGTTGTTGGCGTTCACATGGTTTAATTATGTAGGGGGATGGTTGGGGAGGGGATGGACTTTATCAAACCCCTCTTCCTGCCAGCAGACGCTTCTTTTGTTTCAGAAATTCAGGAAAGCCCAGACCTCTGCCGGGCCTTCCACATGCCCTTGGATTTGTGACAAATCGTTATTCTTAAAACTTTAAGGCCAATGATTGAGGCATTTCTAAAACTGCTTTACAACCGGAAGCTGAGGCGGTCGGGACGAACCATGCATGCGTTGTTTTTTTTTGAGAAGCAGGGTTTGCACTTGTTATGTAGTTGACCACAAATCACGCCTGGTGTTTAAAATCTAATGAAATGTAGCGAAACATTCAGGAACTCTTTAATGGGCAGTTTAAGGCAACAGGCAGGGTGGATTACTCGATATTAATCTTGGAGGAAGCCTAATGACCCATTGTAGGCTGGGAACCCTAATACATTCAGAAATTTACTACAATTAAAATCCCTTCCGGAAAAATGTACCATGTTGGCAAACATTAGTATTTCCTATAAATAACATTCTTATTTGTGTCAAGAAAAGGAAGGCGTTGTCCCCGGTGTCTTCTCTACTTACTAGCTTTTTTTTTTTTTTAACCCTGCCTTCCCCTCACCACTAACTCTACTTCCTAGTTTTTAACCTCCAACCTTTTACAAAAACAATTGCCTATTTAAAATAATTAAAAAAAAAAATTCTACACGTTTGTTTAAGTTGGAGGACATTTTTTTCACTGTAAGTTTTGTATTAAGTCGCTTTATTGTGTTCAAATTGAAACACTCCCACAAATAGAACGGTTTTCCTAGCTACTGCTCATTTTCCAGAAACCAAACCAACCTATCACTAATTCATGTTAAAGTTAGCAAGTCATTGTAAAAGTTACCCCGCCCCCCTTTGTTTCTTCTCCACACCTTCCTTGGGCAAATAGGCCGTATGTGTCTTAGGAGAGGTGAGGTGAAAGGCAAAGGGCCGCGATTTTGCAGTGACTGGTAACCCCAGCAAATGCCACAGCTGGTTTGGTCCCACTCTGCCTGGTGCCCTAGTAATCAGCCACAGTGTAGTTCGTTCTTTCAGAAAAGTCTCAAACTATGATGTACAGAGCAATAAAGTCCTGAGTATTATCTCTGCAAAGAAGTAGTATCTCCCAAGAAGTTCTAGTTCTGTGGAAATGAGCAAATCATCCTGTAAATTTTTGAACTTCCAGCCTAACAACACTAACACTTCTTAAGAGATGTTTTGTAATTCCAATTGAAAAGGCTTGATTTGATCTGACTAGGGTGGAGTACATAAAAGTCGTGTGTGGGGGTGGGGGGTGGGGGGGTGATCCAGATTCAATTAGCTGTCAGATACAGGGCAGTGAGGTCCCTGATTTGGAACTGGAGAGGAGAACCCTTCATTGATGTTTGAAGATAATCTACCCCACCCCTCGCCTTTTTTTTTTTTTTAACCTGCCTACTTTTGGTATGAGTATAGTACAGCGCTGAAAACCCAGAACTAGCTGCCTAAAAAAGCCACCTGAGAGGAGACTCCAGTGACTGGAATTTTTTTCATAGGACCTTCAGACCAGAAATTTTCCAGGCAATTAATCCTTATAGACAGTAACTATGATTCCCACAAGCTTTTCTTTCTTTCTTTTTTTTTTTTTTACATTTTGATGGATTTGTTGAATAAGTTCCTATGATTTTGTAACAGTACTTTTTAAAAATTTACTTCTCTTAAAATTAAAAGATCATTTTATTGGGGGCTCTTACATCAGTTGTATAAGGCATATTTATATATATGTTGTCATCATTCTTTTCTAGACATTTACTTTCTAGCCCTTGGTATTAGCTCCTCTTTTTTCCCTCCCTCCCCACAAGCTCTTTTCTTTTAAAACAAAACATTTGTTGAGTATGAAAGTTGTTTTAAATGGATACACTACTATGCCCTAAAGGCTAACAGTCAATATGAATCACAAAGAATTGCATTCTAAATGCCTGGAATCATTACTCTTTCTCATTTATTTTTTTATTTTATTAAGAGCTCTTACAGTTCTTATAACAATACATACATCAGTTATATGAAGCATATTTGTACATACGTTGCCATCAGCTCTTCCCTCCCCCTCCCCAGCCCTTGTGACCCCTTGATAAGTTATGAATTGTTATTTTCATATCTTATGCCGACTGCTGTTTCTCTAACCACCCACCTACCCACCCCAGTTTCTGTTGTTCGTCCCACTGGAGGTGGGGGTAGGAGTGGTGGTGGTGGTTTTGTGTTGATTATTGCGATCAGTTCCCCCTCCCCTCCTCTCCCCACCTTCCCCTGCCCCTTCTTTCTCATTTTTATTAATTTCTCATCTGGGGCATTATCAACAGGAGACAACCCACCATTTTCACGAGACATGGTTGACGTAATTTCCAGAGTGAAGTTGCTCTTATAGAGTTTACACAAGATCAAGGCATACGTTAACAGATTAAGAATTGGAATTATTCTAGATTCATCCTGGTATTTTTGGTGATAAAGATAATTTTGCTTCTTAGTCCTTTGTAGCACTCTAAGTAGGGACTATTTTTCTCCCAAACGTACTGTAGTGCCATGAGATTAGGCTATAGAGTGTAGGTTCCTTATTGGTTCCTGAGCCCTAGTGGCATAGTGGGTTACCTGCTGGGCTGCTAGCTGCAAGGTCAGCAGTTCAAAGCCACCACCTGTCTTTCTGGAGGAAGATGAGTGTCTGTTCCTGTAAAGATGTGTACGAGTCGTGGGAACCCACCGGGCAGTCCTACCGGGTTCTGCAGGGTCCCCAGGAGTTGGGATTAATTCCATGGCAGTGAGTTTACTTTTGGGTTATTTTTTACAAGTTCTTTTCCTCTTCTTGTCTTCAAAACTTTTGAAGTTCATATCACCTGACTAAATCATTCTCTACCTCATTTCCATTGTCCTTCAGAAATGACAAACAGCTGCTCCTTGATGTCAGTGTTCCTCATGATCCCTACTGTCGTCTCCAGTCTAAGTGATGTCAGCACCCTTGAAATCCAACACACATCTTTGACCTCCCTCGTCTGTGTTCCTTTAGTGCAGTGTTTCCCAAAGTGGGAGCTACAATCCTGGTGGTGCTAAGGTGATCTAAGGGGGAGGGGACTGCAAAAGCAGACACCAATACTTTACCCTGGATTAGGGGCTACAGTACAAATGTTTTTCATTATTGGAATGTGCTGAGTAATTTTTTCCCCCTGAAAAGGGGGCATAGGACAAATAAATTTGGGACTCTAGGGCAGTCAATTCCATCTCATCCATCCATTCCAAGGTAAGATCATGGACCCTTTCATCAGTAACTGCTTTACCTCCTACCTGTCAAATTCAAGCATCCTAATTGCTAACCATCCACAATATTTCTTCCCAAGTTCCAGGTCCTTGATTGCCCTTTCACTAGCCTCAATGAGACCTCTAATTCATTAAATCAAATGCTTTTTCAGAATCTTTTACCCATCGCCTGCCTTCATATAATCTTCCATCTAACCCAATTTAGAACCCTTGGTCAATTGTAATATTTTGCAAACATTTTCAGTTCTCTTGCCTCAGTGTCTCTTGTCTCTTGCTTGGAAGAACTTTAACAGTGATTAAACTGAGCTTTCTCTCTGCTTAGATCCAAGTAGCAACCATTACTGGAGAGTGAGAAAACACTGTGGACTGCTTCGAGTTCATGACGTCCAACCTCACAGGTGCTGTCAACACTGGTAGGCATTTTTTTGACTGATCATAAGTTTTCATCTCTCCCTGAATCTCTCACTTTCCTGCCCCCTTTCCATTGTCAACTGGTGACCTTGCCTCACACTTGCAAAAACACAAGCTACCTCTGGGGACCTGCTTCCTCCCCAGATGCCTAAAGGTGCACTCTCTTTCTTTTGCACCCACCTTGTTCCAATGGGAGATGTGTCCTCTCCGAAGTGAATTCTACCATTTGTACTCTGCATCCTACCTCATCTCTCCTTCTCAAAGACTTGGTTTTATTCCTCATCTCTACCTTCATGTACCACTAATCTTTATCTTGCTGTTGAATATTCTCCTCAACCTATGTTGTTGTTCTTAGGGACTATTGAGTCATTTCTGACTTATAGCAACCCTATGGATACCAGTCCTCACAAATACTAAGTTTGAACCCATGACTGCAGCCAGCATATCCATCCATCTCCTTGACTTCCTCTTTTTGGCTGCCCTTCCACTTCACCAAGGATGATGGCCTTTTCCAAAGACTGATCTCTCCTGATACCATGTCCAAAGTACAGGAAACAAAGTCTTTCCATCCTCACTGGCTCACTGGCTGTACTTCTTCTAGGATAGATTTGTTTGTTCTTTAGGCAGGCCATAGTATTTTTAATATTCTTCATCAGCACC